GCAACTAAAGATCTTGCGTGCTGCAACTAAGACTTGGTACAGCCAAATAAATAAATAAATACATTTAAATAACTTTTTAGGAAAAAAAACTGTTCGGCTACTTTCCAAAATGTGCCATTCTGCATCCTTAAGAGCAAAGACACACAACCACATTGCATTGTGGGCAATGCAACCGCAAAGCATTGTGGGCAATGAAAGAAGGCAGACACAGAAAACCTCATTCGGCATGACTCCATCCATGTGATATTCTAGAAAAGGCAACATTATAGGACCAGAAAGTACTGCAGTTGCCTGTGGCAGACTTAGGGATGGCTATCAACTCCAAAAAGCATAGGGAATTTGGAAGAGGGGACAAAAATGTTCTGTATCTTCTTTGTGGCAGTAACTAAATGATTGTATACAATTCCCAACACTCCTCAAACTGTACACTTAAAACAGGTGGATTTTATCTGTGTAAGTCCCCTCAATGAACTAAGGGGAACATTTATAGCAACAAAAATTTTTAATGAAATAAGAAACATGGCCTACCCTTGGTGCACACTAAGGTACATATCCAAGAGAAATGCATGCATACATTCCCTGGAAGAGATGCACAAAACCACACATAGCAGCCTGTGGTATCACAGTCCCTGGGTACCATCCATCAGCAGAAAAGAACAGACAACAGCATGAATGAAAGTTGAAGAGGAAATGACGAGGGAAAGGAAAAAGACTGGCACGAGGACAGGGTATATCCTTCTTATGAGAAGTTCAAGAACAGGGTGAGAGTTTACTGGCTTGGGAAGCCACAGAGAGAGTTATGGGGTCTGGGAATGTTCTAAGTCTTGATCTGGGTGTCAGCTATTCGGTGTATGCATGTGTAAAATTCCAGTGAGTTATACACTGAATATTTGGACACTCTACTGGAGGTATGTTGTATGAATACTTCAAGGAATTCATTGCTAAACACCAACAAAAATGAAAATTCAAACAACAAAACCAGTCAGCAGGACTGGAATGTATTTTGCCACATTAGAACCCACTGTCATTAGGACCCACTGTAGCTTCTGAAACTAGAGAAAAAAGTGATGAAAATTTTGGAACAGGGATGTGATCTTTTTAAAGGAGAAACTGGAGGAGGAAGTGTTGCTGGGCAAAAATTTAGGGGTCAAATGTGAAAGTGAGTCTCTGTGGTTAAAGAATCCTGGGGAGAGCTGAGGTGGGATGAAAGGAAAGTGAGAACATAAGAGTCATTTTCAAGAAGAGCACACACAGGTTGAAGACACTGACTCTGAGTCTGGTGACAGGGTAATGTTATTATGAAGGTAGGAAGATTGGAAAATTAATAACAATATCCACAACTAATACTTATGGGAATGTTTGTTCAGTGGCTGGCCCTGTTCCATTGATTTTGAGCATATTAATATTTTAATATTATGATTCCCATTCTATAGGTGAGAACCTAAGACCAGAGAGGTTAAGGGGCCTATCTGAGGTCAAACAACTGGGAGGTGGCAGTGGGTAATGGATCTAGTTTGCATCATAAGCCCTGGATGTGGGAAGAAATTTGACAAGTTCAGACTGGGGCACCTGGCATTAAGAGTCACAAAAAACATCCATTACCTATGAAGGGATCAAAGGTGAACTCACATGCGAAAGGACTTTGAGATAAAAAAGCAAAACACTGTTTTTTTGTTTTTTCTGTTAAAGCCACAGTGATGTTAATGTATGGCAGAGGGCAACACAATATTGTAAAGCAATTATCCTCCAATAAAAAAAAGAAATAAAGAAGTTACAATGAGATGCCAAGTCATACCTATCAAGATGACTATTATTAAAATAAAAAATTTTAAGTAAACTGAAAATAGTTAAATGTTGGCAAAGATGTGGAGAAACTGGAACACTTATTCATTGCTGGTAGGAAAGTAAAATGGTGCTGCTGCTGTGGGAATTGGTATGAAAGTTCCTCAAAAAATTAAACATAGACTGACCACGAAAGTGTTGTGAAAATGTAATTGCTCAATCATGTCTGACTCTTTGCGACCCCATGGACTCTAGCCCATCAGGCTTCTCTGTCCATGGGATTTTCCAGGCAAGAATGCTGGAGGGGGCTGCCATTCCCTTCTCCAGGGGATGTTCCTGGGTCTCCTACATTGCAGGAAGATTCTTTGCCATCTGAGCCACCAAGGAAGCCTAAAACTGACCATATGATATAGCAATTCCATTTTTGGGTATATATACAAAAAATTATATATATATACACAAATTATATATATATGCACACTATATATATAATTTGTACATTATATACATGTATAAATTATATATAATTTATATGTACAAATTATATATATATGGGTGTATATATATGGGTGTACAAATATATGTATATATATATATATCATATGTAGGGATCCACATATTTGTACAACCATATTTATAGCAGTATTATTCATAATAGCCAAAAGGTGGTAATGACTCAAGTATCCATTGACTAGGCAAATGGATACACCAATATGAAATATATTTAAGTGGAATGCTATTTGGCCTTTAAAAAGCAGGAATTTGACACATGCTACAACATGGATGAACTTGGAGGGCATTCTGCTAAGTGAAATCAGCCAGTTATAAAAAGACAAACACTGCATGATGTCTCTTTTATGGAGGAGAAGTAAAACTCACAGAGACAGAAAGTAGGATGGAGTTGCCAGGGGCTAAGGGTGTTCAAGCTGGTTTTAGAAAAGGCAGAGGAACCAGAGATCAAATTGCCAACATCGGCTGGATGCCAAAGCCTTTGACTGTCTGGATCACAATAAACTGTGGGAAATTCTGAAGGAGATGGGAATACCAGACTACCTGACCTGCCTCTTGAGAAACCTATATGCAGGTCAGNAGGAGATCAGTCCTGGGTGTTCATTGGAAGGACTGACACTGAAGCTGAAACTCCAATACTTTGGCCACCTGATGTGAAGAGCTGACTCATTGGAAAAGACCCTGATGCTGGGAAGGATTGGGGGCAGGAGGAGGAGGAGACAACAGAGGATGAGATGGTGGGATGGCATCTCCGACTCGATGGACATAAGTTTGGGTAAACTCCGGGAGTTGGTGATGGACAGGGAGGCCTGGCGTGCCACAATTCATGGGGTCGCAAACAGTAGGACACGACTGAGCAATGGAACTGAACTGAACTGAAGGGGAGTAAGGAATGGGAAGTGATTATTTAATGGGAACAGAATTCCATTTGGGAAGACAGAATCATCCTACAGATGGATGATGGTGATGGCTACACTACAAGGTGAAAGTACTTAATATCACTTAATCAGTCAAAAATGGCTAATGGTTAAAATGGTGAATTTTATGTTTAATAAAAATAAAAATAAAAAACAGTCACTGCTGTCAGAGCCAGACACCAAGGGCTGTGTGTACCCCCACAAGGGCCACGGCAGCAGCCTGGCATAAAAGTGCATCGTGTCTCACACCTACAGGCTAAGCCACTGGGTCACAGGTCACTGACCGATATTCATTGATTTTAACTTTGTCCTTCATTGGGGGTATAACTAAACCTACAGCATTTCCTGTCAAATGCATCATCATTATTCAATATATTTTTATGCCCATAATGATAGAATTCCTGCCGGAGGCTATAAATAATTGCACTAAGTAAGGCCTTTTCAAACTTAAATGATAATATGCTTCTCGTGGGACATCCTTCGGCACAGCCTGTGCTCTGCAGATATTAAAAGGCTTTGTGGGCGTCTGGCCACATGTCAGAAAGCACTGCCTCAGATACAAACAAACCACAGCTAAAAAATAATAAATAACATATATTTAGGCACATACATTTTGACGGATCAAGCTCTACTCTACTACACACACTAATGTTGAATATGGATGGATAAGAGAGTCATAGTCACATGAAAACAAAAATTCTGTCAAACACATAAAATGCTACTGGCTAATAAATGAGCATGAAATAATTCTTGATCCTGAGAACCAGGACATCAGTATTTGCCTGTGTCCTGGTTTCAAGAAGCTGAATGGAGACTGTGAGGCAGACCTGATCCCATCCACCCCCTAGTGAGGTTTGCACTCAGAGTCGCCTCCCACCAGGCGTGAAGGGCTGAGTTAATTTCCAACTAGACTAAGTGAATAGACTGGAGGGAGTGAGCTGGAGATAATATATGTACATAAAATAAAATTAAATTAATAATCTGAACCTGATGTTACTTAATGTTATATTGGACAAAAAAATGAAGGGCACAAAACTTTGCATAGTGTGACTGAACAAATGTGAAAGATTAAGGGAAAACTTCCCCTTCTTTTTTGGGGTGCATTTCTTTGTTTTCTAAAATTTTTCTGGTGGGCATGTATATGTGACTTTTATGATGAAATCAAATATAGTTTTAAGGTAGGCAGGTGGCGCTAGTGGTACAGAATCCACCTGCCAATGCAGGAGACTTAAGAGATGTGAGTTCAACCCCTGGGTCAGGAAGATTCCCTGGAGGAGGGCACAGCAACCCACTCCAGTATTCTTGCCTGGAGAATCCCGTGGACAGAGAAGCCTAAGGGCTACAGTCCATAGGGTCGCACAGTCGGACACGACTGAAGCTACTTAGCAGGCATGCAGGTTAGTGCAAAGCAGCAGTTTTAATCCAGGGGACACTGGGCAAAGTCTGAAGACTTTGGATGTTGCGAGAGGGGTTGTCTAGTAGGTAGAGCTCAGAGGGGCTTTTAAATGTCCTAAAATGCACACAACAGTCTCCCCAACAAAGCATGATCTGACTCCCAAAGTAAAGGATGCTGAGGCTGAGAAACCCTGGGGTGGAGTCTAGTTTTTGTTTCCCATAAGGGACCACAGTGCCCCGGACCCCACTCCCCAGGCCACCAGCAGTACCATCTGTGCTTGTGTGTGTATGTGTGTGCTCTCCCAGGAGGAGTTCAAGGATGCCCCTTTTACAGGAGAGAAAGACGTCCGAGCAAGGTAGACTCAGTATGAAAGTCACGGAAGAGACCGCCCCCACCCTCCCGGTGCACACGCAGGGGTCACCCAGTGTGCAGGCGGCAGCACCTTCACCTTCACCATCACCTGGCTGTCCTGCGGGTCCCTGAGGGTCAAGAGGGAGCAGGGGTGAGGACAACCGGGGCCTGTGATGCTCACAGGCAGCAGGCAGAGCTTGCTAGTGCTTCAGATGCTCCTTGAAGGGTCTGAAAACCAGACGCCCAGGATCTGCCTGCCCGCTGCCTTCCTCAAGGTGACGGGTCTTGGGCTCTGAACAGAGTGGAGTGGCCAAGGAGTTCAGCAGCCAGCTATGCGAGGCTGGTCCTGCGAAACTCGGGGCCTGAGGAAGTGAAGATTGCTTTGTTGAAACAAAAGACAACATGACAAGGAGTGACCAGGGCCCAGGAAGGGAGTGGAGGAAATTCCATTAGGCAGCAGGAACCAGCCGCCCCAGCCCTGCAGGGGGAGCCCTCTAGGGCAGGTGCCCCCAGACCAGGCCACAAGCGGAGTTAGAAGTTCCACCAGAGGGGACGCTGTAGAGACCCTGGATGCTGAGCGGAATACACCGGAGTAAGGATGCCAGCCAGGCCAGGTTCCAGCAAGCAGTATGAGGAGCTCATTTGCTTAAAAGAACAACCAACCACAGACCCTGTTGTGTCCCCCAGAGAAGATCAGACTCACCGCTCAACAATATGTCTACCTCTGATAGATACTTTAGGTATTAAAGTGCATTAAACTAAATTACAGGAAATAGCAGATTAGCTAATTGAATTCACTTTCCAGTGCTTAAAGGCTTTACTTCAAAAGGAGCTATAAGCTGCTAATCTGGAAATTATCCAACAAGTCTTCATTTTTCCAGGTCATAAGTAGAAAATGAAAATGTGAAGAGAAAGGACAGTATCCCACAATATTATATTCAAACAAAGGAAGCATGGTCTTCTAAAAATAAGTGACTTCCACTCTGCTCAGCAGATGTAGCTGTACTCATTTTCACAGAAAAGGTTCTGGGGGCAAAAGGAAGGAAAAAATTTAAATCACTCTTTCTACTCAGAGTTTGTCTTATTAATCACACCTTCAGCTGGGCTGCCACTATCTGCAATTTGCTTCTTTCCTGATGCTTCATTTCTAGTTATTTCCCATGAAATAACTTCATGAAAACAAGATTTCAACAGACATTGATTGGGCACCTACTATGTGTTGGCTCAGGGCCTAAGGTCAAACTCAACTTTCAAGATAACTTGGCTCAACCCAGACTGCATTCAGACATTTTAGACTTTGTTCTTTTTGCATAATAACAAATACTGAGAGTTTTTAATAATGACATATGTTTATGATTCTAAGGGAGGAAAGATGAATATACCTTTCATATACAGTCTGAACACTACTGTATCAACAAGGTATAAGAAAAGCAAACCATCATAGTTGTATCAAACTAACTCATCAAAGTTGATGTCACCAATATGGAAAGAGTTACATCATGTATCTTCTAAGGTCATGCGCTGAGAAGGAAACAATAATTTCTATTGTTCACTGCCAAATATAACCCAAAATGAATCACGGGAAAGCAACAGGAAAATTAAAAGTGTGGTAAATTCTACAAAATAACTGGCATGTACTCTTAATAAATGTCGGTGTCAAGAAAGACAAAGAAAGGCTAGGTAACTGTTCCAAATTAAAAGAGTCCAAAGAAACATGATGACTAAATATAGTGTGAGATCCTGGATGGAATCCTAGATTGGGCAAAAACAGCTGTGGAAGACATTACTGGGACAATTGATGAAACGTGGAGGTGGGCTGTAGATTAGGTAATAGTGTTTTATCAGTGTTACAGTTCCAGATTTGATCACTGTACTTCAGATATGTAAGGAAATGTCATCTTTCTGAGGAAATACACTCTTATGTAGCTTTGAATGGTTCAGAAAAAAAAAAAATAGAGATTGGCAGGGATCTTTTGTCCTATTCTTATGCCTTTTCTGCTTAAAATCACAAACAAAAATGTTTTATAATGCACAGAAAAGATGAAGGAAATGTTATCTTCAGTCAAATTGAAGATGAACCCAACTGCAAAAGAGATCATGTGGTATGTCCCAGAAATAAAAAATGCTCATTGTGTGTCCCACAACTAAAGAAAAAACTGTGACACAATACTTCACCCCTTAGAATTTTTCTTTTATACTTTCAGAGAACTCTTTTAGACTTATTGATGCATAGAGTTTTATTTATATATATCACTCCTATATATGCAAAAAGAAATAGGTAAGTGAAATAAATGGACTAAAATATTCCTGCAACCTCTTGGCATTGTGGTTTCAACACTTCTGAATCACGTTATGATTCAGTTGTTGGTATCTGTGCATTTCTATGCAACATCATCCTCTGAGCCATCCAGAATGTAGGTGAGACAGCAGTTTTTAAATGAATGCTCTGTTACTATTTTGGTATTTCTTCCAAGCCACTGAGGCCTATTATGCAAGAGTTAATGCTTAGCCTTTCCAAAAGGTCTTGGGGGAAGGATTCTGACCCATTTTGAAGACTTACATTCCCTTGAATGGTTGGTGAACTGACCATAGATGGTCAAAGTTGTCTAACTGAGCTGACATGAACAATCAGCAGATGTTCACATGCTCAGCAAGGACAGCAAGGGCAAAGAAGAAGCCCCTGCAAGATGGTAGGAGGGGCAAATTTGCATTTAGAATCAAATCCCATTCCCACCAGAGATGCTCAGAGGGCTCAAACAAACCTTGTGTGCACAGGATCAGGAGAAAGGAGCAGTGACCCCATAAGACACTGACCCAGACTTGCCCGGGAGTGTCCAGGAGTCTCCAGTGGAGGTGTGGGTCAGTGTTGGCCTGCTGCAGGGCTGGGGGCACTGAGTGTAGCAGTGTGTGCATGGGACCTTTTGAAGGAGGTAAACATTATCTTCATTACCTCCACTTAGTTTGGCCCCAGGTAAATAATGGGGAGGGAACACAGCTCCACCCATCAACAGAAAACTGGATTAAAGATTTACTGAGCACAGCCCCACCCATCAGAGCAAGACCCAGTTTCCCCCTCAGTCAATCTCTCTCATCAAGAAGTTTCCATAAGCCTTTTATCCTTCTCCATCAGAGGGCAAACAGACTGAAAACCACAATCACAGAAAACTAACCAATCTGATCACATGGACCACAGCCTTGTCTAACTCAGTGAAACTATGAGCCATGCCTTGTAGGGCCACCCAAGACAGATGGATCATGGTAGAGAGCTCTGACAAAATGTGATCCACTGGAGAAGGGAATGCAAACCACTTCAGTATTCTTACCTTGAGTATGAAAAAGCAAAAAGATGAGACACTGAAAGATGAACTCCACAGGTTGGTAGCTGCCCAATATGCTACTGGAGATCAATGGAGAAATAGCTCCAGAAAGAATAAAAAGACAGAGCCAAAGCAAAAACAACACCCAGTTGTGGATGGGACTGGTGATAGGAGCAAAGTCCGATGCTGTAAGAGCAATACTGCATAGGAACCTGGAATGTTAGGTGCATGAATCAAGGCAAATGGGAAGTGGTCAAACAGGACTGCAAGAGTGAATATCAACATTTTAGGAATCAGTGAACTAAAATGGACTGGAATGGATGAATTTAACTCAGATGACCATTATATCTACTACTGTGGGCAAGAATCCCTTAGAAGAATGGAGTAGCCATCACAGTCAACAAAAGAGTCCAAAATGCAGTACTTAACTGCAGTCTCAAAAACGACAGAATGATCACTGTTGGTTTCCAAGGCAAAGCATTCAATATCAAAGTAATCCAAGTTTATGCCCCAATCAGTAATGCTGAAGAAGCTGAAGTTGAATGGTTCTATGAAGACCTACAAGACCTTCTAGAAATAACACCCCAAAAGATGCTCTTTTCATTATAGGGGACTGGAATGCAAAAGTAGGAAGTCAAGACATACCTGGAGTAACAGGCAAATTTGGCCCTGGAGTAAAGAATGAAGCAGGGCAAAGGCTAATTGAGTTCTGCCAAGAGAACGCACTGGTCATAGCAAACACCCTCTTCCAGCAACACAAGAGAAGACCCTACACATGGACATCATCAGATGGTCAATACTGAAATCAGACTGATTATATTGTTTGCAGCCAAAGATGGAGAAGCTCTATACAGTCAGCAAAAACAAGACCAAGAGCTGACTGTGGCTCAGATCATGAACTCCTTATTGCCATATTCAGACTTAAATTGAAGACAGTAGGGAAAACCACTAGACCATTCAGGTATGACCTAAATCAAATCCCTTATGA